CTTGCGCTTACAAGGCAGGTGCCAGAACTATTGAGCTAAATCCCCGGCCCTAGCCAGATTGATTTCTTTCCACAGCTGGAATCTCAAGTGCTTAAGGGGTAATGACATCTCTGACCTTTTTCTCCTTTGGGGAGGTACAGAGTGGGAGAGAGTTTGGGTCTGAGAATCTACACCACTAGGACAAGGCAGGAATACTTCATTTTCAGGAAGAAGCCCTCCTGGAACTCATTTGGAAACTGGATATTTGCCAAGCACCTGCTTCTAAGGGATGCTGGGGGATTTAATGATACTTTCAGGAACCTGTAGGAATTAATAGTCCTTGGGGGAAGTACTCTGAACTCAGTCTTAGAACTTGAATAAAATTAATCATTGTATTTTCAAAACAACTGTTTTCTATTTCTTGTGCATGAAAGCGCTAGAACGAAGCTGTGCTATTTCAAGAAGTGAAATAGATCCCACATTTAAATCACGCTTATTAGTACTGAATTTTTTAAAATTAGAGGTCTATCTGAGGAGTAGCTAATAAAATGTGCTCTACTGAAAAGAGCCGGTACTTTATCTCTGTAATATTGGGTAGTGCACTTGTAAAATATCTCACACCTAAAGTTGCTTCTTAAACTTTTTTATTACCAGAAATCCAACTCAGGATCTTGTATTTGCCAGGCAGATGTGGTGCTGCTGAGCAACACTCCTGGCCCTGTTTTGGCTTTTTTATTGATTTTTATTTTTGGTACCTGGGAATCTAACTCAAGACCTTGCGCTTATCAGGCAGGTGCCCATGCCACTGAGCTAAATCCCTGGCCCTATTTTACATTTTTTTTTCCCTTCCCAGTACTAACCAGGCCCACCCTGCTTAGCTTCTGATATCAGACAAGATTGGGCATGTTCAGGGTGGTATGGCTGTAGGCTTTTTTGGCTTTTTGTTTGTTTTGTTTTTGATACAGGGTCTTACTATGTAGTTCAGACTGCTCTGGAACTCACTGTGTAGCCCAGGCTGGTCTGGAAATGCAGTGATCGTCCTGCCTCAACCTCCTGAGAGCTGGGATTACAGGTGTGTGCCACCACACCTGGCTTTGGCTTTTTTGAGAGAGGATTTCAGTATGTTATTCATGCTGGCTTTGAACTTGTGGCAATCCAGCAATCCTGCCTCAGCCTCCCTAGTGCAGGGATTACAGGTGTCTGCCACCACACTGGATTTAAACTACTCTCGAGAGGGTTTCATACACAAAGCCAAAGATTTCTTGGTGCAGATAGAAAGGTAATAGTTGGAGCCTAGAATTTAGCTCAGTGGCACTGTGCCTGCCTTGCAAGTGCAAAGTCCTGAGTTCGATCTCTGGTACCCCCCCCCCACAAATAGTGGTTAACCTTATCCAGGGGTATTGTTTTCCACTCTTCTTTATCCAGACATACATTCCTTAAAAGTTTATATAGTGTTATTGATCCCTTCTAAGGGATCAGTTTCAGTTATTCTGGCATTTAGCTTTTTTCTTATTGTAGTATCGGGGATTGAATCCAGGGTCTTTGCATTGAGCTATATCCCCAGCATTTTGTTTTTCTGTTTGTTTCTTGTTTTTGGGTTTTGGTTTTTTGAGACAGGGACTTGTTATGTAGTTCACGCTGGCCTTGAACTTGTCATATAGCCCTGGCTGTCCTTGAACTTGCAGTGATCCTCTTGCCTCAGCCTCCCAAGTGCTGTGATTTGCTTTTATTTATTTTTTTGGTACCAGGGACCGAACTCAGGTCCTTGCGCTTGTGAGGCAGGTGGTGGCACCACTGAGCCAAATCCCCGGCCCCAGATTTGCTCTTGCCTTTGACATGGGAATCTCAGTGTGTAGTTGATGCTGGCCTCGAACTCAAAATCCTCCTGCCTCAGCCTCCTGAGTGCTGGGGTTGCAGGTTTGTGCCATCACACCTGGCTAATTTTTTATTTTGAGATTGTCTTGCTAAATTGCCCAGGCTAGGCTTGAATTAGTGATCCTCCTACTTCAATGTCCCATAGTGCTGGGATGATAGGCTAGTGTATTGTGTTGTGCACATCTCCAGCCCTTTTTTGACCTTTGACCTTGAATTTGTGATCTTGTCTCGGCCTCCTTACTAGCTGAGATTTCAGGCTTGTGGCACTATACCTGGGACATTCAGCTTTTTAAACCATGTCTAAAACTTCTTGGTTACTTTGTAGATTGTCAAATTTATTTATTTATTTATTATAGCAAAAACATTTATTGGTACATTTTAGGCATATATAATGCTGCTCATCATAAGGTAGATTGTCAGATTTAAATGCTTAAATATTTTTTTGCTAAAATGTGAACATAATTCCTTTTTTGGGGGTTGTACAGACATGAAACAGCCTTGCACATGCTACACAAGCACTCTACCATTGAGCTATACTCCCAGCCCTCATATTTTTTGATATAGAACCATTCCAGTAAATACTGCATGCTTAGCTTGTTCTCCTGGTTTCTCATTTGTCATCCTACCCTGAGTAGTGAGTGTGAAATACCTCAAATCAACAGTCGCAGGTGTTGAAATTTCCAAGGAGTTCTTACTGTTTTTCTGGAATCTGGAAATGGACCTAAAACAGGGCAAGGTAGGTGTCTGGAGTTTTATTTATTTATTTATTTTTTTGCAGAACCAGGGATCGAACTCAGGACCTTGTGCTTGTAAGGCAGGCATGGCGCCACTGAGCTAAATCCCCAGCCCAGGTGCCTGGACTTTTATTTTTTATTTATTTATTTTGGTCTTTTGATACAGGGTCTCATTATGTAGTTTAGACTGACCTGGAACTCACTATATAGCCCAGGTTGGTCTAATTTACAGTGATCCTCCTGCCTCAGCCTCCTGAGTGCTGGGGTTACAGGCGTGTGGCACCATACCTGTGCCTGGACTTTTAGTGGAAGCTGTTGGGTTGTTGCTAAATGGATGCTCTAGAAAGCAGTACCATTAAAGCCAGGCCTGGTGGCTCCCTGCTAATCTATTCTAAATCCTGGTGGGTTTTTCCATTCTGAATGCCTTAGGTCATCTGTACCTGTTTCCTTTACTACTGTCATGGCTCTTTTCCAATGTGATCCTGTTCTAGGACCTAATCAGAATTAACCTGAATGACCAGATTATTTTGTGTCTGCTTCTCCCCTCAATATCTTCATTCCTCACATGAATGTCAAATCATCTTCAATAACAGATTTGATCTGGTTTGGCTCTAGGTCCTGCTCTCACACTCACTGTGAGACCTCAGGCAAATCACTTAATGCTCTTTGGCCTCCTCCCCATTTGAAAAATGAATGGCTGATTATCTCCAAGGTCTATCCTGTCTTTTGTCCTGCCTTACTTAGAAAACTCAGTTGTCTGTGGGAACTTGTAGCAGATCTGATTTCCTTCATGTGCCCCATTGGGAAGTCTGCCAGTTGTCCAAGTCACTTCTGGTACTGTCTCTTCTGGCTGAGGCAGCCAGCTTGTCTTTACTCCCAACTTCAGCCTCCTTGCTGTTCTCTTTAATTTTGGGGAGTGATGCTAGTTTTTTTTTTTTTTTTTTTTTTTTTTTTTTTGAGACAGGGTCTCACTATGTAGTTGAGACTGACCTGCAACTCACTATGTAGCCCAGGCTGGTCTGGAACTCACAGTGATCCTCCTGCTTCAGCCTCCCAGTGCTGGGATTACAGGCGTGCACCACCATATCTGGCTGTGTTCCTCCTTTTTCAAATGGGATTATAGGTGTGTGTCACCACACTTGGTTTAAGTCCTTCAATATGTGTGTGTGTGTGTGTGTGTGTGTGTGTGTGTGTGTGTCCACTTGTTTTAAGTCCTTCAATATGTGTGTGTGTGTGTGTGTGTGTGTGTGTGTGTGTGTGTCTTTTTATATTTTTTTTGTTTTTGAGACAGTCTCGCTGTGTAGGTTGGCTTTGAGCTCACCATGTTCTGCCTTATCCTCCAGAGGGCTGGGATTATAGTCATTTGGCACCATGCCTGGTTTCTGACTTTATTTTATTTTATTATTTTTTTTTTGAGACTAGGTCTTCCTTTGTAGTGTTCAGGCTGGCCTTGAACTCACTATGTAGCCCAGGCTGACTTCAAACTCTGGTTATCTGCCTGCCTCAGCCTCCCAAGTGCTGGGATTATGGCGTGTGCCACCACGCCTGGCTATCCATCTTTCTTAGAGGTTGCCCCTATAGGTTGTGGACTAAGGATGGAGTGAGCTAATCAAAATTGAAACCCTGTTTTGCAGTACTTTGACAGTTTTGCTGGAACCTGGCCTCATTTTCCAGCTGTACCTTGCTTCCTTTGGCCAAATAAGGGCAATAATGAGGATGGAGAAATCTAGAAAAGTTTTAGGAACCTAGTATGAGTTAGCAAGTGTAAATAGGGTGGCTGTGTGAAAGGGAAGTAAAGCCGGAATATGTGAACTTTGTTGAAGCAGGGAAAGCGGGAGTCTGTGTGTGGCAGGATTGATTGATTGATTGATTGATTTTTGGTCTTTTTGAAACAGGTTCTCTGTGTAGTTTGGGCTGGCAGTCCTTTTGCTTTGGCCTCCCAAGTGCTGGGATTATAGGTGTGCTACAGCGTCCAGTGGGACAGTTTAAGGTTTTTGGTTTTTAAAAAATACTTTTTAATTGTTATTATTTAGATATACATATTGCTAACATTTACCATAGGGAATTAGTACCTTGTACATCACTTGTACATCATATATCTTCTTTTTTTTTGGTACTGGTTATTGAACTCGGGTCCTTGCGCTTGCGAGGCAGGAGCGGTATATCTTCTTTTTTTAAATCTCTGCTTTTTTTTTTTTTTACTCCCTCTCCCTTCAACCCTTCTTCCTCTCCTTATTTGCAAAAGCTTTCTTCCCATTTTTTCCCTCCTATTCTCTTTTTTTCTTGTCATGTCTTCCCCCCTCCCCCTTCCCATTTGGACAGAAGGGGAGGGGTCCAGGACAGGATATAAAATTAAGTTTTTCTTTCTTGACAGTTTACCTCATGTCAGGAACATAATCCTAGGAATTTAAAGGCAGACTCCAAGGCATTTAGGTGAGTACAGTATTTGGACTTTTCAACTAGAGACCTGACTGATATTCAAGAGATCTCTTTCCCACATGAAAAAAGTCCATGACTGGGTACATTAAGTGGAAATGTGGGCCTTTTATAATAATGATGGTGGTAACTAGTTTTTTCTCTTTTTAAGGATATAGTTTATGTAGTCTAGGCTGGCCTTGAATTATGTGGTCCATGCTTGTGTTGAACTTGTGATCCTCCTGCCTTAACCTGGAAGCTGGAATTACAGGACTATACCATTGTGCCTGGCTACTTTTCTCCTTTTCTTTCCTTTCTTTCTTTTTTTTTTGGTACCGGTAATTGAGGCTTTTTTTTTCGTGTGGGGAGGCAAGTTTTGCTGGTCTTAAACTCACTGTGTAACCCAGGCTGGCCTCAAACTCACAACAGTCCTCTTGCCTCAACTTCTCAAGTGCTGGGATTATAGACATGTGTCACCACTCATGGATCTGCCTTTCTTTTTCTTTCTTTTTTTTTTTTTCATTTATTTATTCATAGATTTTATTTTTAGAGCAGTTGTAGCTTCATAGCAAATACAACTGGAAAGTTCTCATACACTCCCTGTATCCTACACACACTTCCAGGAAAAGAGAGCCCCTGCTATCAGCATCTCCCACCAAAAGGGAACCTATTACATTTGTGAGCCTACACTGACACATCTTCGCCGCTCAAGAGTCTATAGTTCACATTAGAGTTTACATTTATTTATTTAGTTTACATTTATTTTTGGTGTAGTGTTTGTGGGTTTGAACAAATGGTTAATGGCATGTATCCACTAGTATAGTACCACGCAGTAGAGTTTCACTGCTCTAAAAACCCCCTGTGCTCTATCTGTTCCTGCCTTCCTTGCCTCAATCCACTGTAACCCATGATCTTTCATATCCATAATTTTGCCTTTTTCATAAAATCACAGAGCGGAAGTACACCATTAGGTAGCCTTTTCAGTCTGGCTTTCTTCACCTCATATGCATTTAAGACTCTTCCGTGTCTTCGTGGCTTGGTAGCTCAGTTATTTTTAGCACTGAGTCATGTCCCATTGTGTGGATGTACCACAGTTCATTCCGTCTGCTTACCTGTCACAGGTTATCAGGGTTGCTTCCTCAATTATTAGTAAAGAGTTTCTGTCAGCCTCTGGTGACAGCTTTTGAGTGGACATAGACTTTCAACTTATTTGCATGATAAACAAGGAGCATACTGCTGGATCATATGATAAGAGCACATTTACTTTTACGAGAAATTGCAAACCTGTCTTCTTTTAAAATTAACTTTATTGGTATATAATATAATGACACTCATCATTGGAAATTTGAACCTTTACATAATCCATCTGTGAAACTGCCATCTCCTAAACTGCCATTCCCACAGCTGCGATGAGTTGAGCCTGTGGTTCCAGATTTTCAGCAGTACTTGATTTTTTTTTTGGTACCAGGGATTGAATTCGTGTCCTTGTGCTTGCCAGGCAGGTGGCTGAACCACTGAGCTAAATCCTCGGCCAGTACTTGGTGATATTGATGTTTTGGATGCCGTTCTTGCAGGTGTGGACTGGCGTCTGTTTTTTTTGTGTGTGTGTTTTTGATTTTTGATACTGGGGATTGAACTCTGGACCTTGCGCTTGTGAAGCAGGCAGTAGAACCACTGAGCTAAATCCCTGGGGCCCAATCTCACTGTTGTTTTTAATTTGCAATTCCTTGATCAGAAAGATTCTGAGCACCTTTATCTGCCAACTGAGTATTTTCCTTGGTGAAGTGTCTTCTCAGATCCTTTGCCATTTTTTGATTGGGTTGTTGGTTTCTTATTGTTCAGCTGTTAAGTGTTCTTTGTATATTTTGGCAAACAGTCCCGTGTTAGATATGTATTTTACAAATATTTTCTCCTATTCTGTGTCTTGTCTTCTCAGTTTTTGCCAGTCTTCTTGCACTGCAAAACATTTTAATTTTAAGAAAGTTCAACTTTTCAATTTTTCTTGGATAGATTATGCCTTTGATGTTTGATTTTAAAAGTCATTGCCAAGCTGGGCATGGTGGCTCACGCCTGTAATCCCAGCACTCGAGAGGCTGAGGCAGGAGGATCGCTGAGTTCGAGACCAACCTGGGCTACATAGTGAGTTCCAGGTCAGTCTCAAATACATAGTGAGACCCTGTCTCAAAAAACAAAACAAAACAAAACAAAACAAAACAAAAAGAAAAAGTCATTGCCAATTGCAAGGTCACCTAGATGTTCTGTGTTACCTTTTACAAGTTTTGTAGTTTGGTTTTCCATTTATGCAGTTCCTGGATCCTGACTTCCAGCTTGTGGTTTGCAGGAAAGGGAGACTGAATCTACAGAGACTGTCAAGGGGCTACATTGAGTTCCAGGTCAGTCTCAAATACATAGTGAGACCCTGTCTCAAAAAACAAAACAAAACAAAACAAAACAAAACAAAAAGAAAAAGTCATTGCCAATTGCAAGGTCACCTAGATGTTCTGTGTTACCTTTTACAAGTTTTGTAGTTTGGTTTTCCATTTATGCAGTTCCTGGATCCTGACTTCCAGCTTGTGGTTTGCAGGAAAGGGAGACTGAATCTACAGAGACTGTCACAGGGCCAGGCGAGTTGGAACTGTAGAGATGCACCATCTTTGAGTAACAACTCTCGTTGTGTTGTCCTCAATCAAATCTGTGTCCCCAGTCAAAAGACACAGATTTGGGCTGGGGATTTAGCTTAGTGGTACCACTGCCTGCCTCACAAACACAGCGTCCCAAGTTCAATCCATTTTAGTCCAAGGTCCATTGGCTCCAAGAAGAAGCAGCGAGGCAGAGGAGCATGGTGGTGGAGAGTTGCTCGTGGCTTGGTGGATGGGAAGCAAGAGCTGGATTTGCCTTTCTTGAGTCTCCTGGTTATGACAGTTTGTGCTGCTTGAGTGTCCTTGATTTCTTGGAGTGGTACATGCTCTCTAGTGTACTTTGATGAGGAGGAGATTGGTCATGCTGAAACCTATATAAGAAATGGAGATGTACAACTGAGAAAGGCCAAACATTTCAAGAGGTTACCTTTCTTTTTTTTTTTGGTACTGGGGATTGAATTCATGCCTTTGCACTTGCGAGGCAGGCGGTGGAACCACTGAGCCAAATCCCCAGACAAGAGGTTACATATCAAGTCCCAGCTGCAGAGTGTGAAGGTAGGAACCCAGGATTTGGAGGCAGAATTCCTGAGGTTCTGTTCCAGTATCTGCCACACTCTTGGGCTTACAAGTGACTGTGGCATGTGGTTTAAATCTTGTGGGCCACTGACTGTGGTGTGGACATTGGAGGCAGATCTTTCTGGTATAACAGATTAATCTAATTGGATCTGTTTCCTCCCTCAGGTATCCTCATAACTGCTTCACATTGATTATTGGAAATATTAGTAAATGTTACCCTTTCTCTCCTTCTCATAACCTGAAAAACAGGAACAAGAAAATCTGGTTTATAGGGTTATCAAAGCTTGGTGATTGCTAAGCATGTTTGTGCATACCAGTAATTCCAGGTACTCAGGAGGCTGAGGCAAGAGGATTGTGATTGTAAGTTAGAGGCCAGGTTAGGCAACTGAGCAAAACCCTGTTTGAAAATGAAAAAGTAAAATTAAAGAAGAGGGGAGGGCTGGAGATTAACTCAGTGGTGCTGTGCCTGCCTGGCAAGTGCAAAGTCTTGAGTTTGATTCCTGGTACTGGGGGTGAAAAAAAAAGAGGAGGGCTAGGGATATAGATAGTTTAGTGGTAGGACACCCCTGAATGTAGTCACCAGTACTGTTAAAAAGTGTTCAGCAATCAGTGGAGTTTAGTATAAGTTACTATTATAATTTTTTTTTTTTTTTGAGCCAAGGTCTTGCTATGTCATTATGTAGTTCAGGATGGCCTTAAGCTTATTGTGTAGCCCACCTGACCTCCAACTCACAGCAATCTTCCTGCCTCAGCCTCTAGAGTGCTGGGACTATAGACATGCACCACCGCACCTAACATTTTTGTTTTTTGGTACCGGGGATCGAACTCAGGCCCTTGCGCTTGCAAGACAGGTGGCAGAATATGTGAGCCAAATCTTGGCCCCCATCATTTTCACTGTATTCCTTTTACAAAATGTGAGTTTCCCCAGTGTTGTCTTTAATTTGTTCTTCTTTTTTGATTTTGCTTTTGTACTGCTAGGGATCAAATCTAGGGGTTTATATGTACTAAGCAAATACTATACCCCTGAGCTAATCCTTAACCTCCCCAGAACTTTTTACTTGGGGTTCTGTGTTTGAATACAAGGCCTTATGTAGTTCAGGCTGGCCTTGAACTCATGGTGATCCTTCTGCCTCAGTCTCCCGATTGCTGGGATTATAGCTGTATGCCACCACACCTGACTCCAGCTCTCATCTTCAAATTGAATTTCTTTGAAATACAGTGATACTTCAGTTAAGAAATCCTATAAGGACAGCCTAGTCAGTTATGTTTAAAACTCCATCCCTTCAGAATGAACCCATATAAAACTTAATCGAGAGCTGTAGACTGTATAAACCAGTGGTGTGCACTGCAGCCTTGTTTGTACCATTGAAAGCTCGAAAAGGTTTGTCATCACTGGTATAGACTGTAAATGCAGACTGAAGTGTGCAGTTGCTACAGTTGAGTGGGCCAAAAATAGTCCAGGTTCTAGTGTACAACAAGGAAAGAATTTCCAAGCATACATCTTGTAGTATGTATTAAGTAACTACATTTATTGAAGATCACAGGTTGGTAGCAGGAACAGGGAGAAGGACAAAGGGAAAAAAAGAGTGAAGAGAAAAAGGGACTCAATAACTCAGGCTTCTGGTATTTATAGGGTCAGACACCACTGATCCAAACTGCCTCTCAACTATCTTTCTTTCTGATGTCAGCAGTCTGTTAGAGCTCCTAAGTTTAAGCCTGGATAATCATTAGGGTAGTGTTCCCTTTATGGTTGACTGGAGAGAGAAGAAGTGGCTTACACATTTCCCTGTTTTAGGATTTTAGAAGCATGGATAATCATTAGGGTGGTGTGCTACTTACAGTTAACAGAATTGAAGGGAATGACTTTAACTGAATTATAGTGACTAAGAGAACAGATACAGCTTTTGTTAGGTCTCAGGGACAAGTCTGTGTTCAGGTGCTCCATTTTCTGTGCTTTCCCTTTCTACCTTTGCCCTAAGGAAAAATAGCAGTTCCTATACTTATCTTTTTGAGACAGGGTCTAATAGCCCAGGCTGACCTTGAACTCTCATGATATTTCTGCCTCAGCCGCCTAAGTGCTGTGAGTACAGGCATGCACCACCGCACCTGGCAATAATGTTTTCCCCCAGTACTGGGAACATATACTAATCCTTAGCACTTTTCAAAGAGTTTCCACGTTAGTAGCTTCCTTATTCCTTACAAAGGATGATACTGCCGTTCTTGTTTTTATTCCAATTTTGCCAGTGAGAAAGCTGAGGTTATCTCTTTCAATAGCATCTGGCTACCATGTATGGACCCTGGTTTATTTATATATTTATTTATTTTTCAGGTACTGGGGATTGAACCAAGGCCTATACACTGAAGACTTAACAGGGCCTACCAATCCTCCCCCACTTTGAGAAAAGGTCTTGCTAAATTGCTCAGACTGGGTTCAAACTTGAGATCTTCCTCATCCTCCCAGAGTGCTGGGATTGCAGGTGTGCACCACTTTGTGTGGCTGGGCACTGCTTGTTAGATGCTGGGGTATCTATGAAGAGATTATTATATCTTCTTGAGACAGTTTGCCTTATATAAGGCAGTTGCTATATAGAGGGTTGAATGCTGTGGTCTAGAGGGAAGGTCAGGATTTTGTGGGAGAATATAGGAGTGGGTTTGAGGGAGGCACTAGTGTCTGAACCCAGTCCAAAATGATAGGCAAAGGAAGTAGGCTGTTTTGTGCAGAGGTCCTGGAGGTTGGAAATGCAAGTAGTTTGGGAATGGCAAGAGTGCATACTGCAAGAATAGTGATAACTTGAGAGTTTATTGCCCCATTCTATTTTTTTTTTGGTTTTTTGAGACAGGGTCTCACTATTTAGTTGAGTCTGACCTGGAACTCACTAAGTAGCCCAGGTTGGTCTCGAACTCACAGCAATCCTCCTGCCTCAGCCTCCTGCCTCAGCCTCCTGAGTGCTGGGATTACAGGTATGTGCCACCACACCCAGCTAGTGTGCTTTATTTTATTAGGCATCCAATTTATAGTGTACTCCTACTATATTTTGTTTGAATATTTTCTTCTTTGCTTTGAGACAGGGTCTCCCTATGCAGTTCAGGCTTGCCTTGAACTCCTTATGTGGCCCTGGGTGGTCTCCAACTAGCAGTGTGATCCTCCTGCCTCACACCTAGCCTTTGTTCTTTTTCCTTTTTTTTTGAAACAGTCTTAAGTAGCCCAGGAAAACCCTTGTTTTCCTGCCTCAGCCTCCCAAGTGCCCATGCCTGGCTTTTCTTGTTCTTTTTTTTTTTGGTACCGGGGATCGAACTCAGGTCCTTGTGCTTGCAAGGCAGGCTGTGGAACCACTGAACTAAATTTCTGGCCCTGGCTTTTCTTGTTCTTAAATGTGTGAGCTGTATCCAGTTTTTTCTAGAATTGCATGTATACCGCTTTTCGTTTCTTCTTTCACAAATGATTTATTTTTATCCTGGGCTGTAATGTTCAGATTGAAATGACTGAATCCAAGATTATTAGCAGTTTTACAACTTGTTCCTTTGCTTTCATGTTGACATCTGAAAAAATGGCTATAGTCAGGGCCTTAGGCTGTGTTCCAGTTTTCCTATAGCTAGGGCAGTGCAATGGTTGTCTTTTCTGAACAGTTAAATATTAATATTAATTATTTATTATATAATCCTGCAGTCATTCTTATACATCATTTGAAAAACATCCAGTTGCTACATTCAAATTCTTTGTGTATCTAAAAGCATGAATACAGCAAGGATATTGGTAGGGGAGAGAGGAAATATTTTTCTTTTTTTTGGTACTGGTGATCGAACTCAAGACCTTGTGCTTGTAAGGCGAGCTTGGCGCCACTGAACTAAATCCCTGGTCCTGTTTTTTCTATTTCTGAGAAAATCCTGCTACTTTTGATAAGAAGAATTTCTCCTCCTTGAAGGACTTTGAAATATGCCCTGGACACCTTGTTTCTTCTTTGTACTCAGTTTCATTTCTGTACCATAGGAATAGTACACTTAGTCCTAATTACATCCTCTGGCAGTTGTGAAGACCCAGTAAGATAGTATCAAAATGAAATTCTTGCATTACAATTTTTCATATGTAAATAACTTTTTAAAAAAATATGAAGAGATATAAAGAAAGACTGTAACCTAAAACTGCAATCTTAATACCTGGCCTGGGGATGTAGGTCACTGGTAGTGTGCTTAGCACGTGGAAGCCCTGCATTCAATTCACAGCACCACAAAAAAAGAAAAAAATCTTACTACCTGGATATTTCTTACTGACAAGTAAAACAAACAGAAGTAACAGTGAGAAAGTATTAACTTGAGGGCTAGAGATTTAGCTCAGTGATGCCTGGCCTGCCTTGCAAGCCCAAGGTCTTGAGTTCAATCCCAGATATTGAAAAAAGAAAAAAGGAAGAGGAGGGGGGGAGGGGGAGGGAGAGGGAGGAGGTGGGTATTAACTTGGGCCGGAAGGCGTGCCTGTAACCCCAATACTCAAAGAGGCTGAGACAGGAGTATCACAAGTTTGAGTACAGCCAGTGGTCAAAAAATGAAAAGTTAATTTTACTGTTTGTATCACTGAAGGAACTATTTAAATGGTTTCTCAAGTGCTTCCTAGAAGTAATTTTAGGCATATGCTAGACTAGATCTTTGTGTATATTTGGGTCTACATTGTTTGCATTACAGGGATAGATAGTAACATACATGCCTCTACATAATGCTCTTTCTCCTCACAATATATGTTGCAGATGGCTTCAGATGATCTCAGCAGCTATTCCTTTTTTTTTTTGGTACCAGGGATCAAACTTGAGACCTTGCGCTTGTGAGGCAGGCGATGGAACCACTGAGCCAAATCCCTGGCCCCTCATCATCATCATTCCTTTTTAAAGCTGTGCAATAGGACTGGAGATATAGCTCAGTGGTACAATGCTTGCATAGCATGTGGGAGGCCCTGGGTTCAATCCCCAGTAGTGGGAGGCAGGGGCTGTACAATATTCTCTTGGGTAGATGAACCATAATTTGTTTAATGATGCCTCATTTGATGGGCATTTTGGCTGCAGAAATTGCAATGTGGCAGACTTTGGGGGGCTATATTATATCTCTAAGTTGAATTATTGGCATGGGATTGTTTTATCAGCTTTGGAAGAATGGGGGCATTTTGACAGTATTAATTTCTTCCTGTTCAAGAACAGGGAATGTTTCCTGTTTTTTTTTCAGTTGTTTGAGACAGGGTCTCCCTATGTAGTTCAGGCTGGTCTTGAACTCACTGTGTAGCCCAGGCTGGCCTCCAACTGCGGCAGTCCTCCTGTCTCACCTTCCCAAGTGCTAGGATTACAGGCTTGTATGTGCCACCATGCCCAGCATGGTTCATGCTTTTAGCAGAAGTATACGAGCATGCTCTTTTTTTCCTCAGCTTTCCTAGCCCTGCCTTTACATTTTTTGCCAATTTGAGAAGTGAAAAATTGTTATTTTGACTTGTATTTCCTTTAATTTTGGGGGAGGTTATGTGGCTATAACAACCATCTCATGCTTATTAAATATTTGTATCTCCCCTCCTCCCCACTATAACCTGCCAGTTCTTTGTCCATTTTTAAGTTAGTTGTTGGACTTTTTTTGTCCTTGGTCTCTATGCATTCTTTATTAATAAAGGAAGTTAATGTTGGTTACAGTTTCTTTCTCTCAATTTGTTGTTCGTGAAAGTGCCCTTTGAACCATTCTACATAGTGTACATTTAAAGCTTTTATCACCATTGATACAGGGAACATTGAATGAATTCTGTATTTAAGGAAATAAACTAGGCTTGCCTGTCTCCTGTGGAGTAGTGGGCTCCTGGTTAGGGAAATTTGAATGTAAAGGAGTAATTTAAAGTCTGGCTAAAGTCCTTAAAATAGAATCCTACATGAATACAGATTGCATCAGACCTTTTTCTTTTTGAAATTTCCTGTGTCCATTTTAAATGAACTGTTTTTTCCACTCATTCTGCAAACTGGAGATTTTTTAAAAGAAAAATCTAAGGCTCTGAAGAATGGATAAACTGAAATTATGTGTTTGTTTGTTTGTTTGTTTGGCCCAGGCTGGTCTCTGAATTTGCAGTGATCCTCCTGCCTCAGCCTCCCGAGTGCTGGGATTACAGAGGTGTGCCACCACGCCCGTCTTGAAATTATGTATGTTTAAAGCTAAGTGCAAGAAGTAAACATGTAGTTCTTAGGTTTTATTTGTTTTTCAATCCCTGATTGTGTATTGAAGTCTTAGTTTACTTTTTTTTTTTTTTAGTGGTACTGAGGACTGAGCCCAGGGATGGCATGCATGCTAGCCAAACCTAATGTGAAATTTCAAAAGAAACTGTTAAGCATGGCTATCAATAAGAAATCAAATAATAACAAATATGGATGAGGCTGTGGTGAAAAAGGAACCCTTCTGCATTGTTAGCAGGAATGTAAACTAGTACAGTCATTATGAAATTCGTGTGGAGATTTCTCAAAAAACTAAAAGTATACATTTCATTTGACTCAGTTTTTCCCATTCTTGGCATCTTCCTGAGAGTGTTAAAATCATATTGCAGTGATACATGCAGCCAGACATTGAGGCACACATCTGTAATCCTGGCACCCTGAAGTCTGAGACAGGTGAATTGCCATGAGTTCAAGGCCAGGCTGAACTGCATAGCAATACCCTGTCTCAAAAAAACAAAACAAGCCAGGCAGGTTTGGTCAGCACATGCCTGTAATCCCAGCACTTGTGAGGCTGATGAGGCAGTTGGGTCATGAGTTTGAGGTCAGCCTGGGCTATGTTGTAAAAGACCCTGTCTATATAATTTTTTGGTACCAGGGATCGAACTTGGATCCTTGTGCTTGCGAGGCAGGTGGTGGAATCACTGAGCTAATCCCTGGCCCATAATTTTTAGTTTATTATGTTTCATTGTCCTTAATCACCACTGTCACCCATCTCTACTCAGTTTGATTTGCTTCTTGTGTTTCCCAGTGTCAGCCCTTTGAAACAGATGGTGTAATGGATAGACCTCATCTTTTTTTCCTTATGAGAAACTTCTGTTATGAAAAACTATAAATTTAGTTAGGAATCTACTGTATTTAAAAGGAAAATAAAAATCACCTATAATTGTTTTCTTCTGGTCTTTTTATTACTTTTTTTTGGTACTGGGGATCAAACTTGAGACCTTGTGCTTGCAAGGTAGGCCTTTGCACTGAGTCCCCTGCCCTTTTTCTGGTCTTGTTAATACATGTAAAGTTTAATTGGTGCAGTTTTCCGTTCTGCCTTTTCATGTAATATATTTTAAGCAAGATAGGATGGTGTTATACATCAGATACGAGGACCCACTTCTGTGATCTTCCATGGTTCCTTCATTGCAGTGATGATGCTTCTGGTATGAGTCAGGCAGAGCCCTGACAATGGACTGACATTGCTTGGGCAGTGTAGGCTCTGAGACCCAAAGATTATGGAAGGAATTAGGGATAGCCTGCTGTTTGGTGGTGTCTGCTCTAGTACCCTGACAGCTCAAAATAGCTACATTGTACCTCTGTCAGAACCACTGTTCCTTTCTCTGATTGCATTTGGGACTTCATACATTACCCTAGCCATCCCAGAAACTTCTTTTGAGACAGTCTTGCTGTGTTTTTCAGGCTGACCTTGAACTCACTATGTAGCTCAGGCTGGCCTGTAACTAGTGGCAATCCTCCTACTTTAGCCTTCCATGTGCTGGGATTATAGGCATGTGCCATCATGCCTAGCTCAAGGCTTCTTGAGGGCAGGAACTGTGTGTCTCTTTGGTCTTGATTTTTTTCTCTAGATGGTTTCTAAGCAAATATTTATTTATTTATTTATTTTTGGTACTGGGGATCGAACTCTGGTCCTTGTGCTTGCGAGGCAGGTGGTGGAACCACTGAGTTAAATCCCCAGCCCTTGCAAATATTTATTGAATGCATTAGCAGATAATTGAATTTACCCATGAAGGCATTTTTTTTCTTTTTTCCCACCTGATACTAGAGATTAAACCCAAGGCCTTTGCACTGAGCTATATTCCCAGCTCCTTCTTTATTTTTTATTTTGAGACTAAGTCTCACAAGTCCCTAAACTGTGCAAAGCTGGGCTTGAAATTTCAATCATCTTTTCTCAGCCTTCAAGCCTGCTGAGATTATAAGCTAGTGCTATCATGTCTGCCCACCTCACAAATGTTTTTGATGTTTTGAGGGTGCCCCTCAGAGGATAGGTGAGTCCTTGGTAAGCAGTGCTAGGAACTGGGTCCTGCACAGTTGCGAAGACCACAGAATGCTGCAAAATGGAGGAGTCAGAGTCAGTGGAAGGAAACCTGTGGTAGAAGGAGGGAAGGCATGAAGAAGAGCACTGACAGATTGTAGGGAACTTTGTGTTTTGAATAATGCCTGTCTGTTTTTTTATATGTAGTGAGTGATGCTGCACTCTGGTCGGACTTTGCCTGAGTTTCATGAATATTTAATTGGCTTTTTCAGGAGAATAAAGGCAGCCCCGTTGATGACTGAAAATGACAAAGCATCCACCTAACAGAAGAGGAATCAGCTTTGAAGTGGGAGCCCAGTTGGAAGCCCGGGACCGTTTAAAAAACTGGTACTTTTACATTTTTCTGTTAATTAATGCCTTTCAGTAAAGGAATTTTGGCAGCACTGATAGGAGCATCATAGCCTAGGTTTTCTGAGGTGATTTTCTGCTCTTTGACTCTTGGAAGATGATAGAGACTTGAGGTCAGAATGTGGGTGCAGGGATCCATGCGTCCAGGGGCTCATCCTGTGACCCCTTGGTCTTACTTGATTCCTTTTTTGGCTGTTCATCTGAAGGAGTTATGGGGAAAAGGTTCAAGTGTGGCTATAGGGAGGGGAAGGGTTAATAGTGACAGTTGTCTTGCTCCTGGCTGCCTGTGTGGAAGAAGAGAGGAGAGAAAGATCAGGGATGCAATGAAGAAGGGAACCTAGATCAGGACACCTCCTATGTTGCACACAGCTCCTCCTGTTTTGTGTGTGAGGTGTGGTGTGGCTGAGATATTGGCATCGCAGAAGCCTCGATCAGGGTGGTTTAGAAACTAGGGTTTACTTGTCTTCGACTACTGGCAAGTAGTCACTTTGTGCACTTGTGCTTCTATAAATGTGGCTACTGGCTATATTGGCATCATGGGGTTATTCTGAGAACCAAATAATAGAGTAGGGAGAGGTCTTAAAAACTAAAATGATGTGGTTGAGGATATGCTATGATATGGTTTTTAGTGCTCAAGGTGTGGGTAGAGGTTTCAGAATGCAAATCTTTTGAGATTGTGTAAAGAATAGCTTGGCTTTTGTGAAATATCTCAAAATAGTTCCTGGGGTATAGAAAAAGAGTCAGGGAAGCTGGATGTGGTGACACATCCCTGTAATCCCAGCACTCAGGAGGCTGAGGCAGGGAGAATTGCTGTGAGCTAGAGGCCAGCCTACACTATGATGGGAGACCCTGTCTCCAAAAAAAAAAAAAAAGCAAGTCAGTGAAGTACCTGGCAGAAAACTCTCTGTGCTATTAGAATTATTATTATTTTTTGGTTTTTGGTTTTTTGAGACAGGGTCTCACTGTGTTGTTGAGACTGACCTGGAACTCATTGTGTAGCCCAGGTTGGTCTCAAACTCCCAGCAATCTTCCTGACTCAGCCTCCCGAGTGCTGGGATTACAGGCGTGTGCCACCATGCCCATCCTGTGCTATTAGAATTAGAGACACCCAACATAGTTATCTTTAGGCTATTTGCTTTATGTATAATTTTCTTTTTGATTTTTTTTTTTGTTGTTGTTGTTGTAGCAGGGATTGAACTCAGAATCTGCCTTACCACTCCACTACATCCTCAGCCTTTTAAATTTTGGATTGATTGTGGTACTGGGGATTGAATCCAAGGAGCAATGAGCTACATACTTAACCTTAGTTATTTTGAGACTGGCTCTTACTATGTTACTCAGGCTGGCCTTGAATTTGAAATTTTCCTGCCTCAGCCGTCCAAGTAGTTGGGATACAGATTTGCACCAGTGCTGTGGCTAGATTTATTATTTATTTATTTATTTATTTATTTTTGCTGTCCTGAGGATTACATCTATAGCCTTCACAGTGAGCCACATTCCTTTTTTATTGTTTTTCCTATTTATTTATTTTTGTTTTTTGATTCCTTTTTTGGTCCCAGGGATTGAACTCAGGTCCTTGTACTTGCATAGCAGGCAGTGGAACCACTGAGCTAAATCCCCCACCCTGATTTTTTGTTTTGTTTATTATTTTGTTGGATTTTTGTTGTTGTTGTTTTTGGTACCGGAGATTGAACTCAGGACCTTGTGTTTGTGAGGCAGGCACAGTGACACTGAGCTAAATCCCCAGCCCATGGATTTTATTTTATTTATTTATTTATTTATTTTTGGAGACAGGTTCTTGCTTGTAGTTTAGGCTGGCCTTCAACTCATGTAGCCCAGGCTGGCCTCAAACTCGTAGTGATCCTCCTGCCTTAGCCTCCTGAATACTGGGATTATAGGCATGTGCCACCACACTTGGCTGTTCTATATTTATTTTTGCTATGTAGTCCAGGCTGGCCTCCAATTTGTGATGATCCTCCCTTCCTCAGCTTCCCAAGTTCTGGGATTTTAGGTGTAAGCCACCTCTTCTGGCTTAATCTTTGTTTTGTATTCCATTTTCCTTTATTGTCCTTATTCAGTTTCAATCTAAAAATGGGTTTGGGCTCGAGAGTCTATATTATTATTATTATTATTATTATTACTACTACTACTATTGTTATTATTTTATGGTACTAGGGATTGAACTCAGGGGCATTCTACCACTGAACTACATTCCCCACCTCTTTTTTTGTTTTTTGAGGTGGTCTCACAGAGTTGCCCAGGTGAGATTTGAATTTGTTATTGTCTTGCCTCAGTCAGCCTCACTGAGTGCTTGGATTATAGGCATGTACTACAGTGCCCAGGCACATTAATTATTATTATTTATTATTATTTAATGCTAAATTTGTGCTTTAACACTGAACCACAGGCGCACTTTTTTTTTTTTAAGAGTCTTCCATATGTAATCCGGGTTAGCCTTGAATTTTAGATCCTCTTATTTCAGTCTCCCATCACTACTCTCTTTTTTTTTTTTCTTGGTAGTGGGGATTGAACTCAGGATCTTGGGCTTGCAAGACTAGCTAGTGCCACTGAACTAAATCCCCAGCCCTGCTTATTACTTATTTTTTAAAATTTAACAGACTTTATGTCTGGCAGTGGATAGACTGTTGTCCTACCTGCTTTTGGTCTTATCTGAGAGATAAAGAGGGCAGCTGGCAGCAGGAATGGTCTGGTCTTGTGGATTCTGTTCCCCCTCTGCCTGAAGAAGAGGAAGAGTCTCAGAAAAGGGAAGGTTGGTGCTGCACTGAACATTTGGGAGGAGGGGTACTCTTCCACACATCAGTACTAGAGCTTGCTTTGGTTGAATCTCTTGGGTGTACGTGACTGCCTAAATTTAAAAGTCCTTGCATGGTGCCCAAAAGTTTTCTCCCTTAATACCAATGACAAAATAAATGGCCCAGCCTGTGAACTCAAGGTTTTAGTTTTAGTTTGTAGTTTGTCTGCGTATATTTTAAAGCCCTATCTGGTATAGTAACAGTTGCTTGTCCTTTGGGGTGAGGTGCTCTGGATTAGAGTCTCTCTCGTCTAATTGCTAGCTTTTGTGTGTGTGTGTGTGTGTGTGTGTGTGGTTTCGGGACCTTGTGCTTGGGAGGCAGGTGTGGTGTTTTCTTTTTTTGTTTTTTTTTTTTGGTTTTTTGAGACAGGGTCTCACTATGTAGTTGAGACTGACCTGGAACTCACTGTGTAGCCCAGGCTGGTCTTGAACTCACAGCGATCCTGCTGCCTCAGCCTCCTGAGTGCTGCGATTACAGGTGTGCACCACTATGCCCGGCTTAGGTGTGGTATTTTCTTAGTTAAATTACTTTACCTCCCCCAGCTCAGCCTGTTTTTTTATAGGGAGAATGGGAGAATTATAACTGGATGGATATTTGGATTAGATAGAATCATTACTCTTTTTTGTTTTGTTTCTGTTGTTATTTCTGATACAGGGTCTCACTGTGCTGTTCAGGCTGTCCTTGAGTTTCTTGCAATCTTCTTGCCTCAGCCTCCTGAATGCTGGGAGTGGAAGCCTGCACCATCCTGCCTAGCTATTACTTTGTATTTGTGTGTGTATGTGTGTGGTATTGGGGATTGAACTCAGGACCTTGCACTTTTTTTTTGTTTGTTTATTTGTTTTGTTTTTTGAGACAGGGTCTCACTATGTAGTTGAGACTAACCTGGAACTCACTAATGTAGCCCAGGCTGGTCTTCAACTCATAGCAATAGATCCTCCTGCCTCAGCCTCCTGAGTGCTGGGATTACAGGTGTGCACCACCACGCCCAGCTATGGTCCTTGCACTTGTGAGGCGGGCTCCGTGCCACTAAGCTAAATCCCAGCCCCATTACTTTGTATTTTGTGTTGCATGTTGCCTGGAAAACACAACCATTAATTTTTCCCACTTAGTTATGTTTTTACTATAGAAATAAAGACATTGTGGCCAACTTGTAGGAATTTTTTAAGGAGAAATTTCTCAAGTTAACATTGAAAAGAAAATTGGAAGGCTAGTAGTAATAACATTTGTTGAGTGCTAGTCATCATATATTTACTTCCTGGATTGTCTTAATCTTCCATTTGGCAGTCCCGTGAAGTATGGGTGCTATTATAAAAGTCTCATTTTGGTAGTAGCAAAAGGTTCCTACAGATGAAGTTATTTGCCCAACATCAGTAGTAGTAGGATTGGGATTTGAATGCAGTTAGGCTGAGTTCATAGCCTCTCTGTAATAATCATAGTTTTCCAGTGTCTTAATGGTCTCCTAAAATTTAAAAAATATAGAGAAATGCATTCTGATAGTGTCTACCTGAATTCCTAACCTAGAGGATTGAACATTTACTTGTTTGGTTAGATCTTAGACTTTGAATATTTTTGCTAAAAATAGTACAGGCTTTGTTTTATTATTTCTAGAGTGAAAATGGTGGCTGTGTATTCACCCTGGTAAATGATTCACTTACATTGTTTTAAGTAGGGCTGGGGATAGATGTAGCTCAGGGGTGCTGCATCTGCCTTAAACGGACGCAAGGTCCTGAATTTGATCCAGCGTGTTTTCAGTTCATTGGAATGAAATGTTGTGTGTAGGGCTAGGACCCACCTCTTCTTTGTGACTTATTTCCTGTGACTCTTTACCTCTGAATCCTTGTATTATTTGTTCTTGCTTTTGAGATTTTTATTTTATTTTATTTTTTTGGTACCAGGGATCAAACTTGGGACCTTGCTCTTGCGAGACAGGTGGCAGAACCACTGAGCTAAGTCCCTGGCCCTGGGATTTTTATTTTTAAAACAGGTTGTCACTCTGTAGTTTAGGCTGGCCTGGGACTCAGGAGATAGCTAGGCTGACCTTGAACTCCTGGCAATCCTCCTACCTCAGCCTCCCAAGTGCTGGGATTACAGGTGTGTGCTACTATACCCAGCTTCTTGGGATGTATGTATGTTTGTATGTATGTATGAATGAATGAGACAGTGTCTTGCTGTGTAATTCAGGCTGCCTTGAATTCATTATGTAGCCCATGTTGGCCTCTAACTCCTAGGAATCCTCATGCCTCAGCCTCCTGAGGCTAGGATTATAGGTATGTGCCACCACAGCCCACCTCTAGTTTTTTATTTTAGAAAATTTCAAATACAATGTAAAGTTGAGAAAACATTAGGCCTTCCACTTATATCTTAATGTTTACCATGTTTGCTCTATATCATTATGGTTATGTAATTAGCAGTAATTCCAGTATATAATATTTAGGCCATATTCAAATTCTCCTATTCCAAGAATGTCTCTACAGATTTTATTTTTAAATTTCTATTGTTTGGTTTGTTTATTTAATTATTATTTTTGAGACAAGGTCTTTGTTTGTAGTTCAGGCTGGTCTTGAACTCACTGTGTATGTAGCCCAGGCTGGCTTTTAACTCACTGTGTATCCCCGGCTGTCCTGGAAGTTGCAGTGATCCTCCTGCTTCACCTTTCTCAGTGTTGGCATTTCAGGCATGTGACACTATGTTTTTGTAGATTACAAATTGAAGGCCAGCCTGGGCAATTTAGGGAGACCCTGTCTCAAAATAAAAATGAAAAAAGGGTGGGAGATAACACCTCAGTGTTTCCTCGGTTTATCAGAAAAAAAGAAGTACTGTATGTATTCTTTTTTTTTTTTTTTTTTTTTTTGGTACCGGGGATCAAACTGGGGTCCTTGCGCTTGCGAGGCAGGTGGCAGAACCACCAAGCTATGTCCCTGGCCCCTTGTATACATCCTTCTAAAGATGCACTAAGTCCCAAATTTAGGAATGAATTCCGTTCTCAGAGACTCTTGGTAAGTTGAGCTCACTTGTAAGTCTGACAAAGTGAGTCTTATATACCTTTTTTTTTTCTTGGTACTGGGATTGAACACAACCTGGTACTTGCCAGGAGGGTGCTGTGCTGCTGAGATAAATCTCCGGCCCAAGACTTACACACCTTTGACACAGATATAGAATATAAAGCATAAAAGACCAAACACTGAAAAAATACTATGAATAAGCTATTTTTACTTTTACAGTTACCTTAAAATGATAAAGTAGAATGTGAGCTACTTCTGCAATTTGTTTGCATCTATGAATGTTCATAATGCAAAGTCAGTTGGTTTCTGTGAAAGCTTGCAATATGAATGTTTGTAAGTTATTGCATATTTTTATATATATATTCTTTTTTCTAAGTCTTAAGTTTTATTTAAACAACCTCCAGTGAGAACAGAGCAGGTCAGTTACTACAGCTTCTTCTAAAGGCTAATTAACTAAGCCAGTCAGGGCAAGCATACCTGTAGCCAGCTGCCAGCCAGTGTTGTGTAGGACCTCTTAAGGGAAGTAGCCTTGGCCCCAGCCCCGGCCAGCTGCTGGAGGAGCATCCACGGTGGAGTGAGGTCACATCAGCCGACACAATAAGGCATGCAGCCTCAGAGGCTGCTGTTAGGGCATTGATCTGCATCGTAGCTGGCTCCCACATGAAGACTTTGAAGTTGTCAGCAGTGTCTTCATTGTTGATGTCCACCCCATACCATGTGCCTCCCTGGGCATGCTGAGCCTGCAGTTTGTTCAGGATGTTTGTGGCATCAAAGCCAGCATTGTCATAGCTGGCATGGGGTAATCTCCAAGGCCTTGGCATATGCCCCAATCAATAGCTGCTGTTTTCCTGGAATAGTCCTTTTTTTTTTTTTTTGGTTTTTTGCGACAAGAGTCTCACTATAGTTGAGACTGACCCGGAACTCACTATGTAGCCCAGGCCGGTCTCAAACTCACAGTGATCCTCCTGCCTCAGACTCCTGAGTACTGGGATTATAGGCGTGTGCCACCACCCCCGGCCCTGGGATAGTTCTTGATTAATCCTGCAAATACTTAGAGAGCTCCATCTCCATGGCCCCACCACCAGCCACCACTGAATCATTTTTGATGGTCCTCCTGATGATCATGGATGGCAAAAATTCATTGTGGTTCTCTGCCTGCCTTGTAAGTGCCATGACTGGAGTTTGATCCCTGGTACCAACAAAACAAACCCTCAATGTGGTTCCGCCCCCTGCCTCGCAAGTGCAAGGTCATGAGTTTGATCCCTGGTACCCCCTCCCCAAAACCACCTCAATGTGGGCCACTCAGGCCGAGGTCAGGTCTGGGCCATCCTATGGAAAACCTGCTGAGTTCTGCCGAGAAGTCCACATGCAGGGCTGTGGAAACTGTTCAGCACATGTGACTTGGGATTGTGTAATTAACCTACTTCTCCAGCCAGTTTTGCAATGCTCTAATCTCCTGTCTCACTGGGGCTATATAAGGAGGCACAGCACGAGTGAGTGTGGGGCCAGGGCAGTGTCAAGCCCAAATATAAGTGTGATGTGTTCATTTTCAAGTCAGCCATAGGAAGACTGTTTCACTCACTGATGGTCTCTAGACAGAGTCTGAGGAGTTCCCCCAGAGAGGCAATAGGACCTCAACTCAGTCTGCTGAGTAGGTTCTTTTTTTGTCGAGACAAGGTCTCACTATGTAGTTCAGGCTGACCTTGACCTCACCATGTAGCCCAGGCTGGCCTCAAACTCACAGTGGTTCTCCTTCCTCAGCCTCCCAAGTATTGAAATTATAGGCATGCACCACCATGCCAAGCCCCTGCTGAGTTGAGTAGGTTGTTGAGCCTCATCACAGAAAAAGAATTCAGGATACATCAATTAGAAGCATAAAAAGATAGAAGGAAATACATGCTTGGGAGTGCAGGCACTCATAGAGTGAAGTACACTGTGGTCTGGAGTTGGGAGTGAATGTGGGATCTTGGAGATGTCCTTTAAGGTGGGCAATCTAAAGGGCCGGCGATTTAGCTCACTGGTTCTGCTGCCTGCCTCGCAAGTACAAGAACCTGAGTTTGATCCCTGGTACCAAAACAAACAAACAAACCCAAAAAGGGGGTAATCTAAGATGTTTTGCTTAAAAGCAGTCTTTGAAGACTGGCATGGTGGCTTGTGCCAGTAATTGCAGCACTGGGAGTGGAGGAAGGAAGATTTCAAGTTAGAGTTCAGCCTTGGCAATTTGGTGACTTAGCCAGAAATTAAAAAGGGCTGGAAGTGTAGCTCATCATGAACTGAGGTTTAGCCTCCAGTATCCCTCCCCCCAATCTTTGAGTCTGTTTCTTAAGGTCAGTTTTTGCTACTTTCTTTCACTAATGGTAAACCTTTTGGTTTTTAATTTTAATTTAATTTTTTAAGACAGGATCTTTGTAGTTCAGGCTGTTCCTGAACCGTGTGTGTGTGGCCCAGGCTGACCTCAAACTCAGAGATCATCCTGCTTCAGCCTCCTGAGTACTGAGATTATAGGTGTGTGCCACACCCAACAGTTGCAGTCTTCAATCGAACTCAGGAGTCTTCTTAAAAGTACATTTTAAATTATGATTTTTTCTTGTCTCCTTTCACCCTGCCTTTTTTTTCTTCTGTTCTACTTCAGAACCCAGGGCCTTGCATATGCTAGACATGAACTACGTCTTTGAGCTTCACCCCTAGCCCAGAGGAAAAGAATTTTTTTTTAGTGGTGTGTGGCAGCCCAGTCGTCACAACACGAACATGCCTTATTTGGGGAGTGAGGATTGAGAAAGGAAAGAACGCTCAAACCTGAGTGGAGACCAAGAGAAGTCTGATTTATTTCACAGAAACAGCTCCTTTTATAGGCTTACATCAACAGGAAGCACCAAGCAACTATTTGTATCTTTTATGCAAAGACCGGATTTTCTTACTCTTTGCAAAGAACATCAGACCTATGGCTGTCTCTTTGAGTTTCTTCCATTGCAGCAACAAGTTTAACAAGCAGAGTCCTAGAAAAGTATCAGTGCCTTGAGTGTAGAGGTGAGGAAGTTTCCTTTTAAATGTCAAAGGCCTAGAGGGCCATGGCCGGGCTCCCACATATCCCCCTTTTTATTATATTTAGAGCAGGGACTTTCCCAGCTCAGCAAAAAGACTGTGCCTGTCTTAGGTGAGAAATGTCCAGAGAAATCCCTTACCCATCCTCAAGCCATGAGAATCCTGATACTCATGCTCTGTCTTAGGTTGGATATTTCTCTACACTTCTCTTACTGGTCTTTGACTACCAGCCTCTGCAGGGGTTAGAGATTGTAGGTTGTGGGAGGCTTCATGTGCAATTGTAAGCCATGAATCTTTCCTGCTGTGTTCATCAAAGATGAACTCACCATGCACAGTAATATGGGTAATATAACACATCCTAGACATACTCTTATCCCAGTTGCAATAGCAGGACCTAACAATTGGGTGACTGATGCCATGGAGGGTAAGACCTGTTTTAACTGATTGATAAAACACTGAGCAGCTTGTGTCACATCAAACTTAAAGGAAGGGGCACTCTGTAGATCCAAAATATCTTGATGTAACTATTAAATCTAGGGAGGTATTTTGATTATACCAAATACCTTTCAAATGCCTTTGTATTTTACTCCAATCATAGATGGAATCATTATATAGCTTATTGGTTACACAAATCCATTGATGACCAGAGTGACACATCAATCGAGAACAAACTTTCAGCGCCCGTATTTCTTCTACCATGAGTAACTTCATCATATAATGCATTTATCTTTTGTTCTAATCTTTGATTGAAATCTACTTGAAAAGTTACAGCATGAGTCACATTTTTTAGCTAAAACATTAACATATTAAGCATCCCAAATTTCTTGTGCCGAAGCAACTGCTTTGTTGTGGCTGTAGCTATTACAGTAATAAGGGCTACAATCCCCACGATAACCAATCTCACCTCTCTTTTTTTGTTTACTTAATGCTTTCTCAATTACCATTAACATTCATAATCCTTGATCTACATACCAGGTTTCATTAAGTTGAACAGGTATCATAACAAAGAGAGGTTGTCTCAAAACCATCACCGAATGAAAGGAAGTCATCATTTTTAAGAATATACAATTGGTCAATTTACAATTAAAACAGCTGTTGTTATATTATCAGTTTCATAAACAATCTCTATATTTCTTACCCATAACATATAAGGAGCATTAACACAAGACATTATCTTTTTCTTTTGTTCTTTGACTTGAGATAACACAGGATTTATGGTATTTCGCATAGTTAAGGTCCCTATGTTAAAAACATTGAAATTAAGGCTAGTAACTTTGACATCTGACCATAAACGTATTTCTCCCAACACAGCAGCAAGTTTCCAAATGTTGGTTTGAGGAAAACCTGAATCTGTCCACCAAAGTCCTGCAGATAAGCTTAAGTCCAAGTGATTAGTCCAAAAACTTTTGAGATGTGTCATTAAATGGTCTTTCTTGAGGTATAGTAACATAGCACCTCTTCCATAAAATAGTAGTACTGCTTATTTTTGTTTCTTCTTCACACAAAGGTAATGATTGTGGAGGTTACTGTCCCATGATACTGGATGTAGATTTGTCAGGATGATCCACATGATGAACCAATCTCTCTGGTAACAATTGAGCTCCATCATGTTCCTATGAGAAAACACATACATATCCTTGGCCCCATTTTAAAATGGGATCAGGTCCATACCATTGACCAGTTAAGGGATCTCTCCATTTTACCAAGGGATATGGAGAACCTTGTGGATGCCAGAATCTTTCTACTGCTGAATGGCCATAATGCTTATAAATTGGTAAAAAATTTAAAATATAGGTAGCATGATTTAAATCATTTCTGGGTGAAGAGGGGTACAATTCCCCCTTTTTTATTTTTTTGTAGTTGCACCTTTAATAGTGGGGAACAGGGGAGAATACCTGGATCAAAAGGTTATTGTCATAAACAAATATGTTGGAAAACCTGCATAATTAAACAACATGAATAAATTTTGTATACCAGAGAAGTAGCAATAATAATTATACTTATATGAAATCTTACGTCCTATAATGTAGCTTTGTATCAATAAGATCTTCCCTTTCTTTTTATAGAAAATACTATATTTTGAAGATAATCATCATAATAAGCATGTTACAATAACATTTAGAATTCAGCCCTTTGATGATAACCAATGTAAACATTTTTTTTTATAAGGCTATGAAAATTATTTGGGCTCCCACTAGTGAACAAAGATCAGAATAAATTTTCTGAGCAGCTGCTTATTTACCAACACAAGTGTACACAAACTTAAAAGTTTATATTTAATTATCTTTAAGGTTTTTTTTTAAATCAACAATCTACTTGTATTTGACATCATTTTGATAAAAAACATAACTGGACAAACATTTTTGAACATTTAGACAGACAGACATATAAGACAATTTAAACTAGAGTGCACTCAGATGGTTTTGGCCAATTAAATTATAAAATCTTTTAATTACTACTAGTCAAAATTTTGCAGGTCAAAATTATCAGAGATCTCTTGTAGAATTAGGGTTAAAGGAATGAAAACTCTTCTTGACTGTAAATGTAAACTAAACCTTTTATAAGACTTGAAACCAACAAGCAAACATTTTATAAATCATTTCCATAAACATTCTCTACATTCTTAGGTAAAGACAAGAGGAACATACAAAAACCTTTCATGTTAAAAGTACAACTCTTACTTATAGCTTTCCTAATATTTTTCTATCTCATTTACTATTAACCTTCTATAACAAACTTCAGTTTAAAGTGTCCTTTTTCTGCTTTTAGATTGTTACATCTTAAAATTTGACTGGCTGCCAATAGAACAGTA